TATGTATTTTAAATTCGATATTCCTAAGCAAAATATTTTTTTGAGTATTTAAATATATAAAAATCAAATTTTTGTCTAGTAGTTAAATAATTATAACTTATAAATCTTAAACGTTTAGCGGAGTAGCTGATCAACATTTTGCGGTATGCTACCCTTGTGCCACTCTACTCCGTTCATCTAAACTTTAAAATTTGAAATACTTATAACTGCTTATTTACTTGTTCGAAATATAATTATTAATTTGTATGTATAGGTATATATACCGAAAAATATTATGTTCAGACTTCAGAATATGAAATAAAAAATGTTTATTGTTATTCAAAAAAGTAGAAGCAATTAATAAACAAAATAAAAAAATTATAACTATCAAAAAATTGTAAAAAATATAATTTGTTTTCAAAAATGTTGTTTTGTAATGACATTAAAGTATGTAAAAAAAATATTTAAAAATAAATTAAAAACTTTTCAAAAACATTAGTGTAGGTTGTAGCATTGATTAAAATATTAAGTATACTTTTAGATTGTAGACACTTCCATCCATTTAGGATTGCCTTGTATAATGAATATTATTATGTATAATATAATATAGTACACTATGTACGTACATTGTACATACACAATCAGCGATACTATTTAAAATGTTTTCTTGCTTCATCCAATAGTAACATAGTTGATAAAAAACATTTTATAATTTCCTTTTATCGTTATGAGTTATGAGTCATGGTTCAAACATACATATTATGATGATATGTATATAAACTTTTATTTTCATTCAAAATGATTTGAAGTCTTATTTATTAACGAATTAATAGATACAGTTAACCAAATATATGATTTTATAAGTTTTAAATTATATGCATTGCATATTATTATCTAAATGATATTTTCTATTAAATAATATGGATAATAATTAATAAGCAAATATAAGGATAAATTATATATAATATATCTTAACCAACAATTTTTCTCTATAACTATATCTCTTAATTATATATCCATTTTAACCACTACTCATAAATACAATTGAACAAGTAAATTTTAAAAATTATACATTTTGTCTTTGTAGTATAGTTATAGTTAGTAATTGCAAATCACATAATATTATTATTACATAGGTACTTAAATTATTTTAAAACCATCAGTAGTGTCGTGTTTAGGAATAATATGACACCCAAGCTTGGACGGGTACACGAAGTATAATACAGCGTCCTTTTTCCATAATTAAACAACATTATTATTTAACAAAATGGACATAACTATAAAGTGACGAAGTTACTTACAATACCATATAAGTAACCCCCTCCTTACCCAATAATTTATCTAATCATAACGTCCCAAAATTAGTGTTGTCATAAATTTGTTTATAATTATAATCTTAAGACTTAAAAGCATTTCAAAATTTTACTTTCGACACTAATACTTAATATATTTTATTTTATTTCACGGAAATTGTATTAATACACATTAAATAAAATTGCAAAATGATTAGAGTAACTTAAAAATAAATGTGCATCATTAAAGTATTAGGTACTTATTGAATCTCTAGCACTGGCGCTCCTTTATATGACTCAAAATTTAACAACTGGGTGCCCGACAGCTACAGACTACTAATCATTTTTATGGTTCCCGTGGTGACCGTTTAATTTTATTCAACTTATTTATTTATAGTTAAGATGAGTAAACTACCATAACAAGTAAAAAGGTAGATTTTTTAAAACTTATGGTTTTTTGTCCTGACACCGCATGTGCATGTATGAACCTGCCGTGTGGATGTAAGCCTGATTTTTAACGTTATAATGACTTGCTGTATTAAATTATCTGAGTGGAGCGATTCATTTACCTATACCTATTGGTTTCAAAATGATGACACTGCGTGTTTTTTAATTGTTGTCTGCCATCACCTTTTGTAGTATAAAAATGCTTCAATATTTGACTTTGAAGAGTTTAGGGTCAACGAGGAAACAACTCAAAGTCCGATGGCCCTATATTATCGGCTGTATAGTTTGTCACTAGGTATATATTAACTCATAATAATTTAGTAATTAGCATAAATTAATGTACGAAAATATTATTCTTAAAACGAGTTTTTACTTGTGCATTGAATATATTTTATTTCTGTTAATAATAATTAAGGTATTTAAAACGACATAATTGATACATAATGAACTAATAATAAGCTTGCCTTCTGATTTACATTTTGTATTAGAAAAAAACATCACACAAAACGTGATTATATTACTATGACTATTAAAAACTTTGTTCATTGAAAACAATTGCAATCTATATAGATATATATATATATAAAAATAAAACAGTCCAACGATTGCTAATTTTTGTTATTTTCAAAAGGTGTATAATAAAATACCATAGTATTTAAATTTTATATATTTAATAAATCACAAAGTCTAAAGAATTTTAACAGTTTTTATGCACAAGCAGAATACATATTATGTACCTTTCCTCGTTTAAAAATTGAGTACACTTTTGTTATTTGTTGTACCTACATTAATTGTTGTTCTAATTCCGATTGCTATTTTTCTATAAAAACAATAATTTATACGAATCTAAAATATATTTTAAATCTTTGAGGTTTATATTAGGAAAAAGTGGTTCGATATTTTGACATATTGACGTCCCTCAGCCATGGGGTTTTCACCCACTAAAATCCCGTAAGTGTGTTTTTCACCAATAGGACAGAGTAAATGCGTTTTGGATATTATTATTTTTGAGTTTTAGCAATTAACATAAAGTATGGATTATTACAATGTTCAACTGGTGTAAACGAATTTTTATTGGGTTATTAGTAAATGGTAAATGTCAAATATTAAGATAGCCACGAATGGCTAAATAGTTACCAAACATTTATTTTAATAATAATATTGAAATTTAAACAAACGTACCACGTACGTATTTTAGATTTTAAGCATAGCGATAAGGATAAATACTATTAATTGTTTTACAATGATGTGTTATTTTTTTTGTGTCTGAACTTCTGAAGACACCTTTTCTAGTAGAAAATGTTCTGATCACTAACTTTTCTTGCAGAAAATTGAATCTATAGTTGGTACTTTTAGGAGGTCAAAATTTACTAACTCGTAGTACTTTTTAAAATGATTGGGAAAAACTAGAAAATAAATACGAACATATTTTGTTAAAATTTTAGTATTATTATTAAAATAATTTTTTGGTAACTTTGGTTACCAAGTTAGATCTCCTGAGCTCAGTTTTCATTTTCCATCGTATACAATGATCTATTAATGAATTCAAATATGTCATTCAGTACCTATACAGTGCCTACTGCCTAAGTACTCAATGACGAGTTACATATGAATACAGTAGAGGAACAGCAGAACAGTTACCTCGCCTACCCATACCTACCTATCTATAGTCTATCCCACTATATTTGTTTTTGTTTTTCCCGATAACTTTTCAAAGTATTGTACATTTTCAATTTTGACCTCCCAAAAGTACCAACTAGATCCAATTCGATACCAGAAACCTCCCATGAAGTTATTAATTCGATTTTTGTCTTAGTAAAAGTATCTTCCGACACAAAAATAAATAAAAGAACCAACATCGGTGTAAAATCAATATACATTCTTTGCTCGGCTCTGAATCTAAAAAATTGACTTGCAATGAAAATAAAATTGATTAACTGATTGTAGTAAGTACATATATGTATAGTTATCCTGGGAAACATTTAACTCGTTAAGCTACAACAATTTTTTTTTTTTTAAAGTAACTCATTATATGACTTAGTTAACTCAGTGAACTTAACCGTAACTCGTACTCCATAAAACTCGTTCATGCCCATCAGTGAATATATGAAACGAATATTATATTATTATTCGATTTCATCTTACGTATGAAATCCCGGTTGTAAACTGTTAAGTATTTCCATATAAGTTTTGTTTCCTGAACATATCTACATTTCTTAGAATGTAATATGACGATTAGACGATAAAAACGTTTTATTCTGTTTTAAACTCAAGATTATAAGGTCAGACATAAATTGTGATTATACCTACTACTGGCTACCTATGTATACTATATTATACCTATCTGACACTGGCTACATGCACCTATATAACAACTGACTTAGTGATCATCATATTATATTATAATCCTCGTTACATTAAAAGGTTAAATGTCTTGCCACAATAAACTGATAAACTGTACGTGTAAAACAAGCTCATAAAATTATACGAAACAATATTTTACACGATACACTCTCAAATTAAAATAGTATTTTCATCTCGATTCACTGGTATATCGTATATGTTAAATTGGTGTAAAATATAATACATGGTTAAAAATCTGGGGGGTTAGAAATATCAATTAACACGTATTAACATAGTTCATAATACTGAAAAAGTTTGGTTAGGAAATACTTGGGGGCTCCAAGACTTTTTTTGTGGGTTTAGGCTCCCCCACCAATTTACTCCTATGGGTACGTACCTAAAGATCTAACTGTTTTTAGTAGGCACATAATTTATTACATTATATTATAATTTTACTGTGATCACAATGATATCATTTTGACAATAATTATACTTATGCCTTAAATAGTCAAATATAATCTAATTATATAGGTACTATAATAGTACCTACAATAATATATATTTCAGACTCATGTTTTTAGTTACTGACAAACAGTTTTTATTGACCTAAAAAACCTTTATGATCAATTTCGTTTTAATTTTTAATTTATATTTCTTATTGTATCCTGTAATCTATAATTACATAATTAAGTACATAATTCGTAAATATTATTATTACCTACCTATTTGGACATTTTGTATTACGAGGTGAATTAATTAAAAACAAAATTGAGTATTCTTAATTTATTTCATAATGATACACAATATTAGTTATTACACGAAAAAAATATAGTTAAATTGATCTAACCGAGAATTAAATTGTAATTTTAATGAAATATTAATTTATTAATTGATTGTGGTGTCGTTATACAATTGTGTACTTAGCTTAATAATTAGTATTTAGGCTGTTGGGTGTTTATGTGTTCCGTGGTCATGACCAGTGTGATCACCTGTTGTATGGTCATGGCCTGAGTGATCGGTTTCGTCGTGGTTATGGCCTGAATGGTCACTGCCTTCGTGGTTATGGCCTGCATGTGAGTCTTCGTGGCTTCCGTGAGGTCCGTGGTCGTGGCCAGTGTGATCAACAGCACCATCTTGTTGAGGTTTTTCACCTTCGTGATGGCAGTGAGCACTCAAACATTGTTGTACCATAACAACAGCCACGAAAAGTAATACCATCTAAACAAAATATATGAGTTACAAATTTGTTTTTACATCTAATCTTTAAATGTTAATTAAATGTCAATAGTTAGACAATTTCTTATATAAATTAGATTTAAACATTATATTATACCAATAACTGGCCATTTTTTATAAAATCAAATTTAACCTATCAAAAATGTTTTTCTAAATAGTTAAAAAGTAAAAAAAACATTGTTCTTACTTTAACTTTAATTTTAGTCAATAATTATCATGAAAGGCTGTATATTATATAGACATATAATAAGTTAAGGAAGAGTTACATTACTAAAATTATTGCACAAACCCACCGAAACATTCTCCACCTATGCATGTATATATAATTGAACTTAATAAATAAGTCGCTAAACTGTATAAATATACCCGATAAAGTTAATAAAGTAATACAGAAATTATTAATAAATTATTGAATTACATATTGTTTAAAAACAGACAGTTAAAATATTATATAAAAAAAAATTATTTAATACTATTAATTTTTGGAACTAATAATAATTGTTAACCATCATTAGAAATTTTGTGTTATAATAAATTACTTACCGAGAATTTCATGATGTTGAGTGTAAAAGACTTTATAAAAAAATATCTCAAAAAAACACTGTTTATAACTGTTTGTAAGAACTGTGAAGAAAACGTTGGTATACCTCTGTATAAATACACTGTGTTTGAAGAGATAAAAAAATTATCTACAATAAATTATGTTGTTTTCTAATAACGTTTCCACTTCCATATTTATTAAGATTGTTTTTAACTAACTAATTTGTATTTTTTTATAATCTCATAATATATTATTATTATTATTATTATTATTGTTAACAACCTACCTATAATATTTTTACGTGCCTGATACAATTATTACACAATACCATTATTATAAGAAAGTAATTAATAGTAATAAATAGTAATAAGAAATTACGTATTTATGCCATTTTTAAAAAAATAATTGTTAAACTTGAATAACATTGAACTTTTTAAATTCTGAACAGATCGACGACGCAACAAAAATATGTCATTTTACAAAACTTTATTTGTGTTTGACAGACATTTGGAGTAATATAAAAATGCTTCAATCTTAAAATATGAGAGGGGTGTCTGGTAGAAAATTGCATCTGGTTGGTACTTAAAGGTTGGGGGAGGGTCAAGAGTAAGCAATTTTTAACTCCAGTAGGTATCTTGTAAGATGGAAAAATGAATCTAGTTGGTGCATTGAGGACGTCAAAAGTTAAAATTACAGGTAGTTTTAACAAGCACCGGGGAAAAAAAAAAAAAAAAAAAGGTGGGCAAGTGGGTCAATGCTGTACAGTAGGTTACAAGTGGGTCACTGTATAATGGATGGTATTAAATTTGAATTCAATGATATAATATCATTGTATAAGAAAAACGATTCTGAGCGGTGACGGTATGTCAGTCTATGTATAAGACATATTATATACATATCTATGGTATTAAACAAAAAAATTGACCTATAATAGGTACCTATAATAAATTCCAAACTAATCATATCACAATATCCATTAGATACTTATAACGCGTTATACATCAACAAAAACCATGATACTATCATAGATATATAATAGTACACTTTAGAAGTTTCAAGTACCCACGAATAATATTATTCAATCACAACAAAATAACTAAAATCGTAATTCTTGGTTTAAATATGAAATTGTGTCTAAATTTTAAATTAAAATGTCTGTAAAAAATAAATGTGTTTATATATTTTTTAGATTTTTTGGTTACAGTATGAATTATTTAAGAGAATCTTTGTTTTAAATTTTCAACTCTTAGTTATAAAAACTGAACATTTTATAATTTTTTAATTCAACGATTGATAATTTTCGAGATTTTGATAAATTTTGTCAAAATTCCAACTTTAAATGCTTATAAAAAAAATCGTGCCAATGTATTTTTAATATTTTTCAACTGATATTGTAACAATATATCAGGAGCCTTGTATTAAATTTTTACACTTTTTGGCCCAACAGATAAAACTTTATTGATATTTATAGAAAAAAAAACTAAAAAAATTGAAAGCTGTAAATGTCCATAAACAGCTCAAAAAGAGTCAAAATATTTTCAAAATTGTATGGTGTATAGAAAATGCTAATTTAAACATTCAGTGAAATTTTCATGTATCTACAGTTGTTCGTTTTTGAATTGCAACAAAATAAAGAAATCGCTACATGAGTAATCGAGTGAATATCCAATGTTGTAAAAATTTGAATTTCAAACGCTCATAAAAATTTAACTTGACTGTCCGGTAGAGATTTTTTTATTGATAAAGGTAGATAATCTTATAAGGAATATTGTGTTTCATTTTCAAATCTTAGATTTAAAAAGAAGAATTTTTACGAATTCTTAACTCAAAATAATTTGCTAATTTTAGTGATTTTTCCATATTTTGTCAATTTTTGAACTTTAAATGCTTATAAAAAAAAATTGTGACTAAGGATTTTTAATATTTTTCATCTGCCTTTGAAACAACATATTAGGAGCCTTCTATTAAATTTTGAAGCTTTCGCAACCAACAAATAAAATTTTATTGATATTTTTAGAAAAAAAACTAAAAAAAAATGAAAAATGAAAATGTCCCTAAACAGTTCAAAATAAATCAAAATATTTTGAAAATGTTATCGTGTATAGAAAATGCAATTATAAACAACCAGTGAAATTTTCATGTATATACGTTCATTTGTTTTAGAGTTACACCAATAACCAAAATCGATTTTTTGGAAAACCAATTTTGCGTAAAAATTCCCGTTTTTCCTTAATTTTTATGTTGTTTTTCCCGGCGCTTGTGAAAACTACTGGGAAATTTATACTTTTGACCCCCCAAAGTACCAACTAGATTCACTTTTCTATCAGAAAAGCTACTGATGAAGAAAATCCAAGCACTTTTACTGTCCTAAAACGTGATGACAGACACAAAAATATAAAAATATAAAAAAAAAGGTGGGCAAGTGGGTGTCGCTCTGCTGTACAGTAGGTTACAAGTGGGTCACTGTATAATGGATGGTATTAAATTTGAATTCAATGATATAATATCATTGTATAAGAAAAACGATTCTGAGCGGTGATGGTATGTCAGTCTATGTATAAGGCATATTATATACATATCTATGGTATTAAACAAAAAATTGACCTATAATAGGTACCTATAATAAATTCCAAATTAATCATATCACAATATCCATTAGATACTTATAACGCGTTATACATCAACAAAAACCGTGATACTATCATAGATATATAATAGTACACTTTAGAAGTTTCAAGTACCCACGAATAGTATTATTCAATCACAACAAAATAACTAAAATCGTAATTCTTGGTTTAAATATGAAATTTTGTCTAAATTTGAAATTAAAATGTCTGTAAAAAATAAGTGTGTTTATATATTTTTTAGATTTTTTGGTTACAGTATGAATTATTTAAGAGAATCTTTGTTTTAAATTTTCAACTCTTAGTTATAAAAACTGAACATTTTATAATTTTTTAATTCCAACGATTGATAATTTTCGAGATTTTGATAAATTTTGTCAAAATTCCAACTTTAAATGCTTATAAAAAAAATCGTGCCTATGTATTTTTAATATTTTTCAACTGATATTGTAACAATATATCAGGAGCCTTGTATTAAATTTTTATACTTTTTGGCCCAACAGATAAAACTTTATTGATATTTATAGAAAAAAAAACTAAAAAAAATTGAAAGCTGTAAATGTCCATAAACAGCTCAAAAAGAGTCAAAATATTTTCAAAATTGTATGGTGTGTAGGAAATGCTAATATAAACATTCAGTGAAATTTTCATGTATCTACAGTTATTCGTTTTTGAATTACAACAAAATAAGGAAATCGCTACATGAGAAATCGAGTGAAAATCCAATGTTGTAAAAATTTGAATTTCAAACGCTCATAAAAATTTAATTTGACTGTCCGGTAGAGATTTTTTTATTTATAAAGGTAGATAATCTTATAAGGAATCTTGTGTTTCATTTTCAAATCTTAGATTTAAAAAGACAAATTTTTACGAATTCTTAACTCAAAATAATTTGCTAATTTTCGTGATTTTTCCATATTTTGTCAATTTTTGAACTTTAAATGCTTATAAAAAAAAATTGTGACTAAGGATTTTTAATATTTTTCATCTGCCTTTGAAACAACATATTAGGAGCCTTCTATTAAATTTTCAAGCTTTCGCAACCAATAAATAAAATTTTATTGATATTTTTAGAAAAAAAACTAAAAAAAAATGGAAAATGAAAATGTCCCTAAACAGTTCAAAATAAATCAAAATATTTTGAAAATGTTATCGTGTATAGAAAATGCAAATATAAACAACCAGTGAAAATTTCATGTATATACGTTCATTTGTTTTAGAGTTACACCAATAACCAAAATCGATTTTTTGGAAAACCAATTTTGCGTAAAAATTCTCGTTTTTCCTTAATTTTTATGTTGTTTTTCCCGGCGCTTGTGAAAACTACTGGGAAATTTATACTTTTGACCCCCCAAAGTACCAACTAGATTCACTTTCCTATCAGAAAAGCTACTGATGAAGAAAATCCAAGCACTTTTACTGTCCTAAAACGTGATGACAGACACAAAAATATAAATAAAAATATAAAAATATAAAAATATAAAAATATAAAAATATAAAAACATACATCATTGTAAAACCAATACATTCATCGCTCCGCTCAGAATCTAAAACACACATCATTGTAAAACCAATACATTCATCGCTCCGCTCAGAATCTAAAATTAAGGAAAAACGGGAATTTTTACTCGAAATTGGTTTTCGACAAAATCAATTTTGGTTTTTGGTGTCACTATGAAATAAATTACAGTAGTTACATACAATTTCCACTGAATGTTTATTTAGCAATTTCTATACACCATAAAATGTCCAAAATATTTCGACTTGTTTTGAGCTGTTTACGGACATTTTTAGTTTCCAATTTTTTTTTCTATAAATGTCAACAAAGTTTTATTCGTTGGGTCTAAAAGTTTAAAATTAAATACAAGGCTTCTAATAATTTTTATAATAGCAGTTAAAAAAAATATTAAAAATACATAGTCACAATCTTTTTTATAAGCATTTGAAGTTCGAAATATGACAAAATTTAAAATATATTTTGTAATTAAAAATGTATAAAATGTTCAACTTTTATAGCTAAGGATTGAAAATTTAAAATAAGGTTTCAAGTAAGTAGGTTTTTCTGTAACCAAAAAAATTAAAAAATCTAAAAACATAGTTTATTTTTATAGTTATTTTATGTTCAAATTTGGACAAAATTAGATATTTAATCGAAGAAGAACGATTTTGGTTTGTGTTATATTTTAAAAATATTATTCTTGAAACTTCTAAAGTATATTATTATTTACTATATACAATTATACAAATATGATAATAAACAAATAATAATAATAAAAACTTAACCTGCTAAAGTATTAAGAGGATGTCGGCAAACTATTTGTTTTCTTTCTCTGTACCACGCGCAACATAGGCAAAACGCATTAACGCAGAATAATTTTTTCTATGTTTTTAAATAATCTTAGAGTAAAATAACCCATTACAAAAAAGATAGAGAATAATATATTTGAGGGAATGACATATCTATATTATATTTTATTGTTATTTGACTTTGTATTCGACTTTCCGAATGAACAAAAATATTCTGTAAATTTAAAATATGTTTAAATTGTTTTGAGACAATATTAATTAGACAAATCGACATTTCGAGAGAGAAAACAAATGGTGTGCTGATCATCCTCTTAATAGTTAATAATAGCAATATAAATAGAATAAAAAGTATCTTAGGCTGACAAACCGCCTCCGCTCAGAATCGTTTTTCGTATACAATGATATTATATCATTGAATTCAAATTTAACACCATCCATTACAGTCACCCACTTGTAACCTACTGTACAGCAAAGCGACTTCCACTTACCCGCTTTTGTTAGGTTTTTTTTTATAGAAGTTGAACCAAGTGTTCATGTTCTGCCAATAAGTTTGAAAATTAAATACAATATATCCATTTATTTTAATTGGACATTTATTAGAATATATACAATCTGTAATAGTAGTTACAATAAGCATATGAGCGGAAAATGTACAAGTTGACTGAGAAATCGTGAGGGGAGTAGCTACCCAGCAGTAACACTCGACCGGAATAGTTTTTAAATAAAAATCTTATAATATGCAGTATGTAGTTCTCATCGGAAAAAAAAGGAGTTTGCATCGTCACAGGTGGTGGCACTCCTTATGAATTGTATTAAAATGTAAGTATTTGAAAATATAGTATTTCAGTAGGTATAATTAAAAATTTCAAAAAAAAGAATTTGAATGAACGCATTATTTAATATTTAAGTATAATACATTTTGATTATCCCTAAAATAATTCCTCTATTTTGTACTCATCGCTTTTTTTTAGTTTTATTTTTAAGTTACGTAATAAGCTATATAATCGATTCGTATATTATATACTCATAAAAGCTATAGTACCCATAAAATATCTATACTTTACTGACCACCCATTTAATCGGAACGGCGCATAATTCACGGACGTCGCGTGGTCGGAAACGCAGAGTTTGCAGGTCAGTTTTGTGTACCTACCTACGGTTAAGATGTAAGTATAATTTTTTTTATATCATTTCGAAATATAAGTATTATATTTATTACAACCTATCTATTATTGTTTTAGTCGAACGTACAAATAATAATGATTAATGACCGATAACAGGTTTAAAAATATTATGTTGGACTGGTGTAATCGTTTTATATCATATATATATTATTTATAATATCATATTAAAACATATATTATATGAAGGTATGTATAGTAAATATTATATAGCGGCTAATATTATCCTAAGTACATTAAATGTGTTTAGTTAACATTAGATCGGTTATATACTTATATAGTAGGTACATATATATATATATATATATATTATATGCATTCGGGAAGCCATAAGTTGTAGGTATATTTGTATCCAATTACATGTGTTTTTCATAACGGTGGGGCGGTGGTAAAATATATAATTATGTCGAAATAATAAAATAGTAGGCATCCACCTATAACGCATTTATAATATAGTGTAACGTGCCTTTAACAATGAAAACAACAGCCCGGTATTTATCGAAGAAAAAATTTTTATTGAAAACAATATTGACCTCAAAAGTCAAGTCGACCATTGATCGGTATAAAAAATGTCGATTTTGGTTGACCAAGGGTTTGTTGCGCGTCGCGAACAATTGGAAAGAGACTGCGCCGTCGGCGAGAGGACAAACTTCGACAGCAGGGATCGAAGGCATGTTTCTCGGATTGGACGAAAACAGAGACTTGTTGGTAAAACGTCTGAATGCCGGCCAGGATTTGTACCCCAATTGTGATACGTCGATTTGGCTAAGAAACTGTACTCGTGACATCCCGACTCCGGTCCAAGGGATAATCAAAGGTTAGTTGAGGCGGGTTTATTTAAATATTGATATACCTATCGCTTCTGCGTGACACCGTATAACATATTATAGTCATATAGAGGAGTATATTGTACTACAAGTCCATTAAATGCAATTCGCACACAATGCACCGAAGTCTTGGACTCTTGGTTTTTAAAAATTGTAATATTGTCGACATTTACAACTACACAATTATTAATAATACCATGTAGGTAAGATACCGGAATGGTTATCAGGGTCGCTGCTACGAAACGGTCCGGGGAGTACACAAGTGGGAAGTTATGAGTTTAAACACATATTCGACAGCTCGGCTTTACTACACAGGTAAAAACGATAACCGTGAATATTGAATTCTTAAAACTAGTTTTATATCAAATACATTTATACATGATTTATTTATAGACTGTATTTACTACATTAACTATATAAATTAAAATATTGTGCACTTTGTAAACTTGTAAATCTATGCTATAATAGGTTTGCATTCAAAAATGGAACAGTAACATATCAGTGTAGATTTTTGGAATCAAATACGTATAAAAAAAATAAAGCAGCCCAAAGAATTGTCATAACCGAATTCGGAACCAGGGCGTGTCCCGATCCTTGTAATACAATTTTCCACAGGTATGTACTACCAGGTATCAATTATAAACCTTTTTGTCAATACTAAAATATTAGTTTTAGTGTAATAAAATAGAAACATTGGATTAATGCACATTTACTAATACTTTACTATATACAGTAGGTATCTATATCGCTGATGCGATCCCATCAAATATAATACATGTCTTAATTACATTTACATTATTAACAAATATAAAATAGTAAAACCATTTTTAGCTAATAATTACTTTTACTACATTTTCCTAATCAAAATATCATATTATGATATTATAAAAAAAACAAAGTTGTATTTTATTAAAATAAATTAAAATACTGATAAATACAAAATTAATATTAATTAAAAACAAAATCACAAACTATAATCCATCAATCGTCTCTTTACTATATTATATTTATCCTCACTATGGAACACTGTACAATTATTAGTAATGCACTAATGCATTATATATAAATATAACATATATTATTAATTACTATATTGTAAATAAAAGTATCGTTTTGATTAAAGAACATTTAGAACTTAAGTAAACGAGATGGATAAAAAATATGATAAGACGTATTATAATTTATTATTCAAATGTTTCATTGTTGTTTAATAATAATTTTAAATGTTTAAACAACAGTGAAACATCTGAATAACACATTTTAATACCTACATTTTATTGTTATCCATCTCGTTTCGTTAAGTTCTAAAATGTTCTTTGGCAAGGATAAAAGTCCATTTAGAGTTGTTAAGTTTTAAGCTTACACGTGTACCACAATAATAGATAAACATTTTATGACCAACTACCTACCTACTAATAAACAATATTAATATAATACGTTTCAGGGCAGTTGTCAACAATAAAAAATTAATTAGTTATGAATTTATGATAGGTATAGTTTGAGTTATATGCTTAATAAATATGTTGGCAGGTAGATACATAAAGAGTTGAAAAAATATTACCATTAATATTACATTTTCTTTAAGCATTTTAATTTCAGGGCATTAAATATTATTATTTAACCTAATTTGTTGATTTTTAAATACAATGATATATTATTGAATATCCAATATTGAACAGCAGAAAATCTAACCATTTTCAATAATTGTCATCAGAAATCCCAACATAGCTGCATTAAATATATATACACTACCAGACTACTTATATGTATTGCAAGGATTGAAGATTATTATAGTTTATTAACTTACTTTTTAAATTTTGCATTAAAAATACATTATGAACTACATTAACACATTGACGGACAGTTTTCATTTATCTAAATTCCTATAACCTGCTTTTAAAACGCACTTTTTTATTACTGCTATAGCAGTAATAACTTTATTACTGCTATAGCAGTTGTGTTGTACGTACATTGAAAATTCGATGCAAGTTGACATTACTGCTATAGCTGTAATCATTTTTTTTGATTATAATACATCAAAATCATAAATTATTTCATAATATACAACCAATAAATCTGTATTATTATTATGAGAATTTAAATATAAACAATATTAATTGTCAATTGTCAAATTATCAATAGTAATCAATATAATCAGTTAATAAAGATAACGTCTGGTTCGAACAATCTCATAATAATCAGTTAATAAAGATAACGTGAGTCAATAGAATTAACAGCATAAACAATAATATACCCGAATTCTAAAAATAGAAAATTGTATATTATATTGGTATTTTTTCCTTGTAAAATATGTCAGTGCCCAATTATCTAACCTAACACGATGCGGCAATCTGATGTCTACTTTCATTTGATACCATTAGAATAAGTACAGCTATAACAGTAATGCCATAATATGAAATGTTTCACATTACTGCTGTAGCAGTCATGCCACCTAACATCAAAATTATAAATTACTGCTATAGCAGTAGTGTCCGTCAATGTGTTAAACTGAACAATATGTTTTAAGGTCTTAAGTACCTAATTTATTGTAATTAACTATTAATATTAAATATTAATAATTTAACTAAGTGGAGTTTAATATTCTACTTTTAAGCTATAATTGTTTTTCCATTTTAAAATATATTGAAAGAAAATGTATTGGTTTGACACAATAATTATTCTATCATAAATAATACCAAATGTTTACTTGTCAAAAGCAAATACTATTTTTCAAAATTTATCTACCTACCTACCATAGTACCTATAATATTATTTAGTCTTGATAAATCATTAAATTGTAACATAACAGATATAAATATATAACAGACATTATAATATCAGGTTGAATATAGATATTTTTTTCTAAATTCTACCTACTGATACGTATTATCATCGTACATATTAATATTCTTCAAACTGTTTTTGCATTCTACATACGTCCTATATACGTGTATATAGGTATGGTAAATTAATATCTATGAAAATCGATGAACGTGACAAATATTCACGTAGATACGGCTTTCGTAACTGATATATTATATAGGTACTTATTATATGTATTTACTGAATAAGTGTTGGCCAACAGGAAAAAAAATACCAAGAACGTAATTAAATAGGAATAACAAATTAAACACAGAACAATAAACAATTATATTAACTAAACTCTTAATGTCAAATGTCAATTATAAGCAATAATTATGAATTACTTATAGCGCATAACTCTGGAGGTAGATATAAATCAATAAATATAAAGAAATCGAAAAAAGAAATCAATGTTCAATGTATTAAAATGTAATTGCAACGATTAAAAAAAGAGCTTGGATAATAACGAGAGTTAAATATTGAATACTTATACATTTATAATACTAATATGACATTAATAATATTTATAACTATAATAATTATACTTTAAGAGCAATTATTGAATAAAATATCTATAATTAAAAAAGTTAATTAATTTGTTTTTATTTAATCATAATAATACGATTAGATTAATTTACTCATTTGAATTTTGTTTGCTCTTTAATGGTAGGTGTATCTATATTAAAACTGATCTGTATAATTAATACAATTGTTTGAAATTTATGATTATGACTTCGAATATATGGAACGCCAGAATATCTGAATATGTACTATTGGGAAAACAAATTAACACTGGGAGCGCTGTCGACGCCTATCGTACTGATGGTTGGGCGGGGTTCCCCCCTACATGCAGTCGGGATTCGATTCGGGTTTTCGCGGCATTTCGAATACATTTTGCTTTAAGCAGGGCCTGATTAAGGAGTTGGTCACCAGTAGACTAGGGTTGATTTGGCGCCCCTATGAATGATCGGAGTGGTTGGAGGGTAAAACAAGGATTAAGAAAACGTAAAAACAACAGACTTTTTTGTTTAAAATAAAACGTGTTTTATATTTAATAAAATTATACACAAAAGCATTTAAACATTTTTAATTTATGATTGAACTAAATATTATTCATTTAAAAAAGTTTTTTCCTTGATTTTAACGCTGCGAAAGACTCTACTATTTCATCGAAAGAAATATTGTTCATGAATTCACTTTCAATAAACAAAAGTGCAAGGGCCTTCATTTTATCCTGGCGTAAAGTGGATCTTAAAATGTTTTTCACCCGCCCTAGAGCAGAAAAAGATCTTTCTCCGTTACAATTTGTGACGGCCATACTCAAATATATATATATATATATATATATATACCGGGGTGGGCAAAAGTCACGCAACCGATTTGTAAAAAATGACGCAAAATCGGTTGCGTGACTTTTGCCCACCCCGGTATATAGCCACTTCAACATTTGGAAATAGTGACTCTATCTTCAAGGATTTTAAATGGCTCAAAAGTCTTATATATAATATTAGAGGATGTGGGATCGCTCGGTCGTCGGTGCGATAAGCCCGCGACGATTACAAGATATAGGTATATGACAAATAACGTAATATATTACAATAGTCGACCGGGTGGAAATTCGTTGCGGCGACGCGGTAACGGCACGGCGAATAGGCCGCGGCATTGAACGTGTAATAACGAAAATATAATTTTTTTTTTTTTAAAGTATATATTATGCAAAAATTCTACATTCGTAAAAAAAATTTTTGTGGCGCCCCCAAAACGCTTGGCGCCCTAGGCTGTAGCCTACTTAGCATATTGGTTAATCAGGCCCTGGCTTTAAGTGAAGTGAAGTGAAGTGAATTTGAACGTATTTGATAATATTAGTAGAAATTATATTTACTAACATATACAGTTAGCTATAAAAGCGTATAAAGTTTCCATAGCAATATTAATTTATTATAAAAAGTAAAATAACCAACATAAAACTATATCTATACATCCCGAATTGGAAGGTACAAATTGTTTCCACCAGAGCGCGTTTTGTTAATTTGTTTCCCCAATGGTCTTCACCACCACAAAAACCTGCAAAACCATATTTATGATACATTGTATCGTATAAAATATCAAATTTTCATATTATTATTGTTATTTGCCTTTTTTTATGCATTTACTTTACCTAGTACATATTATGTATCTACCCTCTACACTCTAAACCATCATTTTCATTTCAATGTTATTTATTTATTTGGTTATTAAATTGGTTTCCAGAAAACTAATTTGAAAAAACTAAAAAGTCAACGGAAACCAAAGGGTTTGAGTGTGTTCAAGTTAATTCTTTAGTAAAGTTTGGATGCTAATTTTGTCTTAATGTACCGATTTTAAGCTATTTTGGATTGTGTCGTTTGATATATATTATAATATGTAGGTACTATGGTTCAGAAGTTATCAGATGTATCTGAACATCTAAGATTTGATTTTAAATACCAATTACCAAAGTTATACTTTTCTGAACTGAATAAAAATATACTTTTATTTTAGGTTTTCTAATGTATTTAAATGGGGAGACAATCAATCAGACAATGCGATGATATCTATTTACCCAATCGGCGATGAGTATTTTGCATTTACGGAGTATCCAATAATGATCAAAATTGATCCTACAACTCTCGAAACACTTACAACTGTAAATATAATACAATATTAATACTAAACAATAACCAAATAAGCGTACCTATATTATATTATTGAAATAATAAATGTATGTTCAAATTATTGTATTTAAAAAATAGGATAATAATTATTATTACCCACAGGCCAAAGTTACTTACTATTTAATCGTTTTTTTTTTTTTTTTAAATAGTTTTTTGTATTAATATAAGATTGAACACGAACGGTAAGTACCTACGCATTATGCATATTGCACATTACATCATAAAATATGAACTATTGACCTACTGGCTACTATATTTCAAGTCTTATATTTTTTGATACATACATGTAAATATGTTGTAATAATAATGAAAATTAATATTGTTAAAGATCATAACAATCGTTTTAAATTACATTGGAATTTTATCTTATACATACACATGTAAAGTACGCTCATAAATATTATTATGATATATGCATATGGATATGCGTGTGTGTGTTTGTGTTTGTGTGAAATTCTGTTTTTGAACAAATAAAATGTTGATATATTGTAATTATGATAAAATTGTAAAAATATATTTAGAGGTATGATTGTTATTTCTCATTTTCACATTTAAGCACGTTTCGTGGTTGAACGAATTTATAAACAAAAATTTGTTATGCTTGCATTATTAGTAAGTATAATAGTGGTAGGCATATGCTGGCATAGTTAATACAGTCAAATGTGGACAATGTGGTTAACTCAAAGTTGAAAGGCCTGACCAGAAAGTTCAAGTTATTCAAGATTTCAAGTTATCACTTATCCAAGAATAATACAACTATAGACATTTCTAGGGACCGGGAGTAAAGTTTGAGGTATCGACGGTTTTGAGTTAACCATTCGTTCGACTGTATTAAGAATAAGGCGACAGGTTACCTAACCTAACCTCTTTCCTACCCGCGCATACACAACAAATTTTCGTTCAGCGGAACCAACCTATTGTGTGGTTGGCTTTTACAAAATAATTTAACTTCTATAAAACTTAAAGTTGATAACACTATATCCGCGTTTGTACGTCGTCTTTTTACGACATTCTTTAATTTTATTGTCTGTGATAAACTAGCATTTTTAAATTGTAATATTTTACATATGTCATCTTCATAACTGGCACATTTAAATTGAAACATCTTAAAAAAATCCAAACACAGATAATGATATTATAAGTTTGATAATATTGGTCAATTCATTATTTATAATATTTTAAAGCATTAACAACGCCATATACCCATAGATTGGTTCTGCCGACCTCCAATTCTGATTGAAAATGAAAACAAATAGTGCAACGACATCTTCATAACGGACATTTTTCCAATTAGATAGACATTGGTTGTCTGACCGGTATTGTTCATCATACTGCTCACCCACATGTGGCAGCCGATGGTGCCGTTTTCAATTTAGCGACAGTTCCAAAAATTGATGGACCTCATTATTGCGTGGTTAAATTTCCTCGGGTTGATTCAGGTAGGGGCCCAAGCAGTATTTAAAAGCACTGTATTAGTCAGTATACCACGTTTCCACCAGAAAACGTCTATACCATAAAATATATAATTTTTTTAGAAAATAAGAAAAATTTTGAGATTTTAATAATACAATATCAAAAAAACAATTATGAACTTTAAAAGTATTGACAAGTTTTAGATTTCTAAACTTACATAACGGTCGTTTTTATTAAGATATTTAATTATTGTTATATTGCAGTAGGTGCCTAGAATTATAAGTTTATTGTGTGTATTAAAATGCGTTTACAAGCCGGGAATTTAGCACGCTCAAAGAGTGAGGAGCTTTCCTAACTTGTTTAATATATTTTTTTTATATTTTTTAAAGTATTTATATTTTATTGACTAGGTATACAAATTATACCGTACCTATCCAACCAACTCACGACTTTGAAACTGTGGTACAGAGTTCTCATTATTGCTATTGTTACTTAATTATTATTCTCATAATCAATTTTAATTTTATTTAATGTTAGGTATATTGTTTATAGAGATAGGTATTTATTAACATGTAGCCATGTAGTAGGTATAATAATATTTATACTGATTGTCAATGTTGCATTGTATTTTAAATAAAATAACTGTACAAAAGCAGCTTTTTAAATGTCATTGGGTAAATTCCTTTTTTTGTTCGCCAAGAAACTGGATACCGGTATTCGACCGATGAAATGTTTGGGAGAATGTGCATCGTGGCTACCATAAAGTGTCGGTGGCCCCTACATCCTGGGTATATGCATTCTTTCGGGATGACGGAACATTATTTCGTCGTAGTCGAACAGCCCTTAAGCATTTCACTGTCCACTGCCGTGGTTAACAGATTCAAAGGAGATCCGCTGTCTAGTGCACTAAAATGGTTTCAGGACTGCCCCGTAAGTAACAATTTTCGGTGTTCATAAGATTTTTTTCTCGTCGTTGAGTAAATTTTAAACTATACACCTACTATATAGGTTAACATGTGCAACAACAACATATATGAATGGGAATTTGTTAGAAAGGACCCAAGTTACATTTTTGACAAAAATAGTTTTGTTGTATATTATTCATCCTCTTAAGTAAACACATATTATATGCTTATAATTTGTAAATCAAAGACTGATTCAATAAAATTAGGTACATAAGTTTTTCATTTTTTTTAATTTTAATAAAAAAATATTGTTTTTTGAAGATTGTTATTCATTTGTTTGTATTCAGAGTTTGTTATTTAGTTGCATTGTTGTCTATTTAATTGGATAAAATAAATAAGAAGGTATTATATTATTTTAAAATGTGACTATTATAGTACTATATTAAATTATGATACTTTAAATGAATAAAATTATTAGAATTTGTTTAAAGGTACCTATGTCACATTACGAAAATTCGTTATTTATAAAAGTACAAATTTTTTTTAAATAATTTTATTTTGCTATTTATTTTTTATACAATACTATTTAACTTAAATTGTGATGATTGATCTTATTACTCAAATAGAAATAAAGGAAAACCGTTTTTTGTTTCTCTTAAAAAGTAGTTGAAAATGTATATGGGTTCCTTTTAACAAATTTCCATTAAATTATATATATAACATGAATGACATTAAGAAATAAGAGCACATATTATATATAGGTACCAATAATATATATTATTATATGATATACTTTTTTTTTACTTAAATATTAATAAAACATTTTTAAGTTTAAGTGAACGCCACACCACCACTATTTAAGGGTATGGTACTATGGTATAGTAGGCAATTTCGATGACATGAAATTCAAATTTTAAATATGTTTAATTATTAATTCATAGTATTTTAAAAGTGGACCCATGGAAGTATGTACCAACAATATTGAAATAGAAAAACAATTTCGACAAACTTACAAATACCGTATTTACTGCAGATTTACATATTTTTCACAATATCACAAGATAATTGTCTCTTGGATTTATCTGTCTCACAAGTTTTTAAAAAAATTTTTATACCAATACTGACTACTCGCTAATTTATGAATTATAATAAATGTATGAAAATAATAAAATAATGAATATTAGTATATTACATCATTAGTTATTACGAATGAACGATTCGGATTGTCAAGTACAGGGCCCCGCATAATGTTGGTACACTTTTTCGTTCGTCTAACTTTAAATACTTATAAAGTTATAACTAATACCTGTCCAATATTTGATTTTTGTAGAGAAAAATACTCCATATAACATCCTGCTTTAAAATATGAAATATGGAAAATGTATATTGTTATTAAAAACAGTAAAAATCTTAAAACATAATAGACAACAAATATAACTGCATAAATGTTTTGTAACGATCCAAAACGTTATTGTTTTCTGAAATAATTAGTGTTTTTGCTGTCTTACGTTAAATGGATCAGTATCACCCTGTATGGCTGTATGTAAACATAAATGTTATAAACTATACTATTATAATATATCCATATCTAATGTTTCCAAACTCTGTAACTCTGTCTTAACCCTTTGCATGTATGTATATAATATATATATTTATTTATTTATTTCATACGGAGTAAACTCCATTTACAATAACAAATTACAGCAGCAAAACGAATATTACACATCACTACATCAGTATACTAAATAAAAACAGCGTAACAATTTTGAATACATAAATAACACTAAAACATTTTTTTAAAAATATATAAAAATAATTCACATATTGGTATAGTAATCGATAACATTTAACAAGCCTATTTTTAAATAATTTAATAAATTAACAAAATGATTGTATATAGACTCTAATTCACTTGATTTCACGATCTGATGGTAAAACGGTGAAGACATTTAAATCGGATGCATTCTTTTATCTCCACATAATAAATCAGTACGAAGAAGACAATCACATAGTGATCGATATTTGTTGTTACCGAGATCCGTCCATGATTGACTGCATGTTCGTCGAAGCATTACAAGTACATTTTTAATATTTTTTAAATTTGTTAAAATTAATTATTTAATTATATATAAGTATATTGATTTAAATCTTTTGTGTATTGACTTTTATGAACAGTAAAAGTCCGTATACACTAAATATCCATCGCCACTGTTATAGTGGTTTTTTTTGTATCCCTCGAGGGGGGTGGATATGCATTATTCAAAATATATGTTAGGTGCCTGTACGATTAAGTTATATCCTATATATACATAATCAAACCAGGTAAACATGGTTATATGGTATGGCCACAAATATTGATATACATTTTGGATACATAAATCATTACAATATTGTAATCAACATCATAAATGACCGTTCACTATAATAATATCATATACTATCAGAGATATAATATATTGCAATTTTAGTTTTAATATCGCTCAATCCTTATTATCAAACCAGCTAAATAGACTTTCATTTCAGAATCTCAACAAAAACCCGGATTATGCAGCCATGTTTCGCAGCAGGCCTTTGAGATTCGTGTTGCCAGTTAACTGCCACAATCCTACAAGTGGCGATGTCGAAAACGACCACTTGTATGTCTCCCCCGAAAAGCTATGCGATTTGGGTTGTGAAACACCCAGGATTAATGAATTCAATATTGGGAAAAAATACAGGTTTTTTTATGCAATATCATCCGACGTTGACGCTGAAAACCCTGGAACGGTAATTATTGTTGTTCTGTAGTTGGATTGCAGGTTATAATTTATATAATACTTATGAGGTGCAACAACAGTTTTATATAGACAAATTACATATTATATTATGCAGGGTTATTTAAATAAGGATGATGAAATAGTCAGTAGAGTATCTAGGATTTTTTCAAGAAAGGGCGGTATACAATTTTTAATAGACATTCTGTATACACATATTATATTCATATTATTATATACATGTTATATTGTGTACAAAATTTGGGCTCCGGCGGGATATCCCCATATCTCCTCCACCCGTAGATACGCCACTGCAACTGGACACAGCACTATCATTGCAAATACAGTACGGTGTTAGCCGTTTTGTAAATGTTTGTATAGGTACACATTCAAAATTGTAGTTTGTGAACGGCGAAGTCATAAAATATGGTGGTTAACAGTGTTTTCTTATTATGTAACTTAAAATAATTGCTAAATGTTGTGAGCACAACAAATAATTTTTTTTTTAATTTTTTTATTTTTGATCTAGAATTTATACAATCTGTACATAGCAAACTACAATTAGCATACAGGATGTTTTTTTATAAATTATAATATATGTAACAGCTTGCGTTACTTGACGAAAGAACCAACCAGCGAAGGCACTTCGGCGTAAATTAACAAATTATTTAGGTTTTTTTAGGTTGGGGTATTCTTTGTCATTTTGTGCTGCTAGTTTGGTTAGGATTGTTGTAAGAAGGGAGAGAGGTGGATTTACGAATGCCCGGAAGTCACTGATAAATTTAGATAGTATTAATAATATTAATACATAAAAACATATTTATCATATTATAATATTTTTTATTATATTTTATTTTAATCAGCTCATTAAAGTGGATACGTACAATAAAACTTGTAAAACATGGTGTGAACAGAATGTATACCCTAGCGAACCAATTTTTGTTTCTTTACCGGACGCCGAAGTAAGTATAAATCATTTTCATAAAATCTAATATCATTTGTCTATAAAGGTAGTTTATAATCTATGTACAAGAAACAACAATAAATTAATGTAACAATGTTTTTTTTTGCTAAATTATGATTTGATAAATATATTATAACTATGCCGAATTGTATAAAAAATGTATTCATTTAACGGTACACTAAAATGGTGTCCACATAAATCATGCTTAAGGGACCATTTGCTATAATCACTATTGCAGATTCCTAGATTTCTTAAATGTTAAATGATTGTTGTTACCTAGTGAAACCTTTAGAGGATTTCAGTCGTCAGAGTAATATTTGTTTACTCACTCTAACACAGCGCAACATAGCAAATTTGAGTTCAGAATATTATCCAACATGGTGTATTGTTAACATTACTATTAGAACTAATTGACCTATTATAAAACTTAAAGTTAATAAAATTGTCTTTGTTCTTACGTTGACTTATTTACGATATTTAAATCTTAAAACGAGATGAGTATTTTTAAATTGTACATACTCATAACTCGGATAAAATTGAAATATCGTTAAAAGCAAACAACTGAACACTGCAGATATTGTTCTTCACTTTAAATTTGGTCAATTCACTATAATATTAAAACCAGCAACACAATGTTGGTTAGGTTACTGAACAAACATTTTCTGCGCATTGCGCATGTGTCAGGCAAAAGGAAACATTTAAAAAAAAAGTACCTAGTAATATGGTTCTTCCTAAATAATTGTATAGTCGTTTTGTCAGTGACAACTGCAGACCGATAATGTGACACTATGAAAATATAAATATGTAATATGCTTATAAGAAAAGTCATTAACTGTTTTTGATGTACCTACCCGTTTGTTGTGTACACAGGATGAAGACGAAGGTGTAGTTTTATCGTCAATCATTTGGGGTGGATCAGAGTGTGAAAACCAAGCTGGAGTAATAGTTTTGGACGCGAAGAGTTGGACAGAGATAGGGCGAGCTGTTTTTGTCACTCAGTCACCAGTTCCTAAATGCTTACATGGCTGGTATGCTGCTGCTGTATAAAAAACTTGTCATTGAAGTACGATCATAGCAAATATATAGTTATTTTTGACAATTATAATATTATTATTGATCATCATAATAGATTTTTAAATCAATACCTACCGCCTATCATAATAATAAATTATATTCTATACTTGCATATTATACTATTAAATGTGTTTTACAATGTGTTTTGAAACCAATGGAATTATTATAGTACCTATAGGCCACAGAGGGTATATTTTCATCCTAAGACTTTTCATAATCTCTTGTAAATAAACATCTAGTCGTTGTTTATATGTAGAATAATGAATAAAAAATGTTTAATAATTTGAACATAATTATAATTTGATAGGTAATCAATCATATATATTATTATATGTAAAGCAAAAACATTTAAAAAAAAAATTTAAGTAGATAACGTAGTGGTGTGACGTTTTTCTGCTTTTAGGGTAAACTTGTATGTGATTCTCCAGAAATTTAAATGTTTACTTCGATGTATATAAATCATAAATGCAAATAAATATTGGTAACTGTAGGAAAAATATAATAACTGTGTAAAATAAGAAAATTATACTATTTACTTATATTATTATAATGTAAAAAACGTATAACCATGTGTAAAATATTTTATAAATTAAACCAGACATTATTATCAAATGTTATCGTTAACCATGACCTGTTTAGAACAAATATATAGCACATAAGCTATCGGTCCATTTGCGGTCAATGTATTTTTCTTTTCATTAGCAATCAATTATTTAAAATGACTTAAATATTTTTACGATAACGTATATTTACGTAGGTATACGAAATTATAAGTTCTATATAGTTTATGAGCTCATTATATTACTATAATGATGAATGAATGATGTTGATAAATTGTTAGACGATAACTGAATAACATGTGGAAAATATTCACTGACATAATTAACTGTACAACACAATTTTGTTCTAACCCAGCAGAGTATTTGTTTGATTGAACCATTTGAAATGTTTGTGGAAGGGATTTTTTCCCTTAAATGAGCCACTTTGACTTCCTCTAACCTAGGAGACACCTCTCCCCCCACAAACATAGATTTAGCCAATGCTGGGCACAAACTATTTATAAAGTTAGAATTTAATTAATTAATTAATTAGTTAATTAATTGAATATCATAAAAATTAAAAATGTTTTGTAATTGGGTCATATTAATTATAATTTAATACTGTTTTCTTTATAGGTAACAATATATACATTTATGTTTTAATCTAACTAATGATGCTATATTTTTACGTAAAATAAATACATAACTAGTTAGGTTTTTTTTAAATATTCTAATATAACTTTCCCAGGCTTGTGGATTTAGCTACAATGATGCGTACAATAATATTATAATGAGTTACTGGTTCTAAGACTTGCTGGAAAATAAAATATACAGATTATAATTACATTTGTTGCATTGATTTTTTGTAAAGACTATGTCCTCCCTCAACAGAAATTTTATCCTAAGGCCTAAAGTTGGGCTTAAGCTCTACCTTATAAGTTATAATATAGGGTGTTCAAATATATTACACATAAGATATAATACAGGACAAAACCACACAGTATTTATTAGGTTGTTGTGTTAAAAATCCACTCTCTTTATAATTTTTCAAAATCTATATTATATTAATTAAATTTAAACTTTTCTATATTATATAATTTATATTTATTCAAATAAGTAACAAAAACATACATTTAAAATAAATTAGTTTAAAAAAAGTTGTTAAGTATGTAACTGCTTTACTATACAGAAAGAAGGTGTAGAGTGTTACAAAGAATATCGATTTCAGTTATAATAATTGTTGTAATTTAAAAATATTATTCGTGACCGGTTTAAAGTATATTATTACGTTTTATACACACAATTATATTTTCAAATGTTAAATTGTGCATGTGCGTTTCAATATCTTTTAAATAAAACATAAGACTTATGAACAGGGCCGGCGTTACAAATTGCGGGGCCCCGAGCAAAATAATATAAAATAATATTTTGTTGAATATTATACCTACACAAAGTATAATATTATGTAATTTAATTTATGAAATGTTTTAAAACTGAGATTGCACTGTGGATTTATTATTATGTTTTATATTTTAAATGCTGCATCCGAATTTTTTTTTACATGCACGTTTGTATGTCTGTGCATGTCTGTGTACACTGCAGGTGGATTGCCCATTTCGATGGAATTAGTTCACAAAGCGAGGTAGATCGGTTGTAATTCTGAGGTATGTCAACATAGCTATAGCTGAAACCGAGATACGACACCAATATAATAATATAGCACTGTGTTTTGTATTTAGTCATTTTCTCACGGGCAAAGTCGGGTAGTTTAGGTATATCAGCCCGCCTGCCTGGGGATCAGTACTGAAATCGCCTCAACGACGATTTGCCGTCCAACAACAGAAACGGCGACGACGACGACGACGGCAACGACGTCGAAGACGACGATCCGCGAAACGGAAAGTGCGTGGCGGACGCGGCGTTCATGACGTTGTCCCGGTGGCTGAACGGGTACATGGCCTTGGACGGCTGGCCAAAGGCCGAGATCTCGCGACGGACCGCGCCACCGCACAGAGGATCATGCGAGCGGCGGGCGAGGTCGGCGGCCACGAACCAACCGGTGCGCGTGGACAGCAGCTCGAGCGTGAACACGGCCGCGGCCATCGAGAACCCGCATACCACGACCGCGTACGTGGTATACAGGTCCGAGTTGCGGAGCTGCCTCTCCTTGCTGCCCAGGTTCAGCGGGCAGATGACCGCCTCCGGCAAGTCTTTGGTCTGCAAATGCCTCACGATGCCCGACTCCATGTATGACAGCATTCTGCTCGTTTATGACACCAACATTTTCATTTTCACGTTTAATGGTATTCAATTTGTATTTTGTAGGTTGGTAATATTTCAATTGAAAAAAATTGATTATTTATTTCAAAACCATATAATCGTTTTACGATTTTTTTTAGCACAAATCGATTACAATTGTAAACGAAAATAAATTAAAATCTATAATTTAACAAAATCCATCAGGTCTATAATATATGATTCATTGATAGGTACCTAATCGTATTACTTACTATATTGTAATGATTTTATACTACGGACAATTTGGTTATGCCCAGCCAACTAGAATCGCGAATACAAAAAAATCAATTTTTGTCCTACATTTAGTATTAAATATCTTTTAACTAAAAAGTGAAAACTGATTTTATTCCTAAATGTTTTTGGAAAAAATCAAACAAATAATTTATTTATTAATATAAAATAATAATGCAATTTAATTTAAGTTCCTCATAAATTGCTATTTTATAGCAATTTAAGAATATTAAAGATAAATATACACGAATTTTTCTTATAAGCATCGAAGTTTAGATTTTGACAAAATTCGTCAAAATAACGAAAATGTACAAACCATTTTGTAGTTTAAAATGTATAAAATATTCAATTTTTATAGCTAAGGATTGAAAATTTGAAGCAGGGCAAATATTAATTTGTTTGTTATCACGTAACAGGTTAGGGTTAAATTTCACGGGCAGGACCAAATCGCATGTAACATATTAAATATTGTGAATAACTAATATTTTGTTTTGTTAGGCCAGTATTACAAACACGATGAAGATTCTCTGTAATATAGATAGAAAACAGAATTTATTGAAATCGGAAAAATGTAATGTGATATTTAAAAATATTTATTATTACCATTCATTTAATGTACATGATGTTATAATAGTTATATTATTAGGTATGTATAATTAGCGTTTCTCAAAATAAAAAATACAGGGCAATTTGTTTTGACAATTTTTTGTGTATCTATCATACCCTGATCCTTTGATTAAAAGAATACCTACTAACAATATTATACGTCATCTATGATCAAAATACTTAAAAATTTTTTAATTAATTTAAAATAAAATAAACTATTATTCCACTATTAAACATTTTAACCATCGTCTTATTATTCCCAAGTTTCGATAAGATAACCTTTTCCTAATACTAAAGTTTACCATTAACTAATTATATTTACTGACCATAAAAACTAATAAGTTATAAAATATATTGTTATATATATTTATTATTTATTTTATAGTATAACATTACGATGTATAAAAAATATAATTAATCAAACAATTTCTGTATACCCACATTAATTTATTAAGTATACCAGATATCAGTCTCCTTCTATTATATTCAATACTTCTTTCAAGTAAAAAAAAAATTGTAAAATAGATAATACTAATCATTGGGTATTAAATAATGATAAGCAACTTTTGTAGTAAAAATTTAAATCAAATTTAAATAACAATATATTATGTAAGTACATATTATATAATTGCTGATTATATTTTAATTGTGTACTAACATTGGTAGGTACCTAGCTCATATATAGGATGCTTAGGTATGACTAAAAGGAATATTAACAGTTTAAAAAAAATTCAAAGGGACGGGGGCAAACAAAATATTCAAATTCAATAAATAATAGTATGTATTATGCTTTCTCTTGCCAAATACTATTCAAGCAAACTTGATTTTCATATTATTGTTATATTTTGAATCTTATATATTATAGATACTGTTAATGAATGCCATAAATTATTATTTTTCAATGTTTACATAATATATTTAAAGGAATAAATTAAACAAGTTCCAAAGAGAAGGTGACGGGGGTGCCCATTCCCTCCCTTCAAACTACCACTGAGAGGAATATTATAATTTATAGGACGTCTGGTCTAGCACCCAGGCATTCTATATAATACATTTATTAAATTGTAAACATAAATCATAAATAATCATTACATTTTAGATTTTCCAAAACTTAGTATAGTAACATCACTAACATCTATTATATATAGTATAGTATCTATTACCTATTACATTGTAATATTATATAAGTAGATAATTGTGTGAATAAACACTTACATTGGATTGAAAAGTGGTGGTAAAATACTGTGTTTAGGATAGACAAATGACATTGATCTTGTCAAATATGGATCTGTGGTCAACACATAGCGACACCGTTCCTTGTCATCCGTTATTGACCTTTCGATGCGCAACATTAAAAAATTCAACCAATTCTTATCGTGTAGAAGCAACGTTCCTATAATTTTGTATAATGTGAAAAAAATGTTTATTCAAAATTAGGGTGGAACATTTTTCTCCAAAAATTAGATACCGTTTTCCTTTACTGTTCATTTTCCTTTACAAAAATATACAGGTTGGTACTTTACATTTTGTTTCACTAGAATCATGTCCATCATTTTCTTTCAAATTTATTAAGATCGCATTTTATTCATTTTTAAACATAAAAAATATTTATTTTATTTGTATTATGTATAAAACTATATGAAATGAAAACACAAATTATTTGATTTGTATGCTATTGTACATAACATTCCTAATACTAATAATATATATACGTGAAGAACAAATAGCCGTCAATATATAAATTGTATTTTATTTTGAAGTTATTTTATAGGTATTTAAGTTTGTTTTAAATTATTTAAAAAATAATTATTTTACTATATTGACGTATTGTATTACAATATTTTCTATTTTTATTCACTTCATATTTCATATTTAATGTTTACCTATACATACTAATTACTAATATATAGAAGAATATTTAGAATATAATAGGTACCGATTTTAATTAATAAGAGTGTGACAATGTGGAGGAATACGGTATATCTGATTTTTGAAGGGAAATGGATACGGCTACGGCCCAAAGTTATGCTTATTGAGTAATTGTATATTATACAAATATACAGTTACAGTACCATACAATGTATAGAATCGAAGCAACTAAAGAGAAATTAATTATGTCCATCAAAAAATATAATACATATATTTTATTTTATTTTATTACCTGACGAAATATGTTTTAAAATTGTATCAATTTCGTCGATATTTATAACCATAAATTGACCATTTCCCTCCAATATTGATTGTTTGAGTGGCTTCAGATCGTTATCCACCTTGACGATGTACTCGACGGCGCTACCCTCTGAAGAAATCCATCGGTACTCATCACTCGCAATATCATCTATTCGTTTTATGGGTAAAGTAAATTTGGAGAGTGTTAAAAACGCAGTCAAATTGGCTGTATAGAATGAAGTCAATATCATTATGAATATCCACCATGTGGCGAATATGAGTCTTGCAGAATCTATACAAACGTTTAGTATAAAATCTTAAAAGTATTTAATTTTATAACCAAACATCAGAATATCAAATACAAATGTATGATTTACAAATCTATTATTTATTCATACACCTGGGTAAGTTCTTGTATAATATATATGTATAGAAACTATACGGCTTAAAGTGACACAAAATGGCTAAGAATACTGCGTGCCACCTGTATACTATTTTGAACGTTCTATTTAAACTTAAATAATTCATATTACCTACTCAAAAATATTAATTGAATTGCGTTGTCGCATATATTGGGAGGGGGAGGGGTAGGTCCTCGTGCTTATAAATTATAATCTTTAAATTAGTAGTTAGTACCCATTATTATTGATTTAATTTACATCCAAATTCTTCATTGTTATTACACAATTAGCACTTTTTCAGAATTTAAATTGTGTTGTGTTTATACGACAAAATAATAAGTAGGTAAAGAAGACAATCATAAGTAGAGCCCGGATTTATATGCATTTAAAAAGTGTCAAATATGATGCAAATATGCAAGGAAAAAGTGGCTCAATATGCAATTATATGCCATATGTTAAACATTATAAAATATGATCTTTTTTTAAAAAGAAAACACATTTTTACACCAAGGAAAGTAGGCACCTACTAGATATTCTATCAGAAACAAAAGAATAATTAAATAGTTAAACATTTAATACTTTAAAAACCAAAATGCAATATTTTATAATCTTAATTTTTTCATATTTTAGATTGTTTAAAATACAATGTCTAAAACTCTCAGAAAACTTAAAAAAAAGAATCAAAATAAAAAAAAATAAATTGAAAAAAAAATTTGAAAAATTGAGTTACTGCTTTATTCATTGCGCACGTTGAATAGTAACAACATAGTATGCCGAAATTCGGGTGTATGTGATTTATTGTTGTTAATATAATATTATCTATTCGTGCTCCAATCTCATGAAGTGTTGCAAAAATTATAATATTTAAAGAATAAGAGACCCTGTCAACGATTTTTGTCTTTTAAAATTACTAAAATGTATTTATCTTAAATTAAAATAGATAATTTTTGCGGGAGTATTGCGAAAGCAGTCCCAGCGGTGCCGTCGGTTTAAACAGTAAAAAAAAAAAAAGGTAATTTATTAAAAACCCATTAAATATGCATGTTATATGCATTTATGAACCAATATGCAATAATCCTCTAAATATGCAAAATATGCAATATACAATTTGGTGTTTAAATTCAGTGTGAGATGAACAGCCGACATTTTGAAAGCTTCTAGACGTGCATACACTTAGTACAAATATGCAAATGCATATAAATCCGAGCTCTAATCATAAGTAATGAAGTATATGTTTTTAAAACTAAACGATACTTACCTACGATACGTCGATACATAATACTTAATAGAACCATTAATATAAATGTTTACATAAAATATAATAAGAAAATGATGAAAAAAACAATCACAATTTTTTTAATGGTTGTAATTTTATACGTGAAACAAAGGGCGCTGGATTAGCTAGTTAAATATAAAATAAAATATTATACAGTTGTATCAAATAATTTTATGGATGTACATCACTGTAACTACTTGAATAATAAATATAAACTTAATCCCTGTATATATTATATAGGTAGATAATAATTACTACATTTATTTTATACCTACAGC